AAATGACATCCATGATGGAAGATGTGATGCGTTATTGATAACTCAAACATTACTTAGAATTGTTTCCTTGGTTATTAGATGTACTAAGACCACTGACTTTCAACTACATAAGAAAATAATATTGTGGTGTCTCGATCAGAGCCGAGAAACCACAACTGACATTTCTGTAGAGTGGGTATTGATTTTTTTTCGGTTCTACAATATGATGTATCAACATTTAATACATTGATGCATTATTGCATATGTCAGGGATTATTCCTGATGTAATATACTGAGAAATCAATAATTGTTTTTTTGTTATTCATTTATTTGATGGTCTTAATCAACGATATCTTAGGTCCACTAACTGTAACAATTACCGCATATCGAGCTGCATTTATCTTCGAAATAGTATTTTTCGAAAAATCACGAAAATGCATCATCTGATTTCATACAAACTCATATTTCAAAGCTACCGAGTTAAAACAACATGATCTAAGTGTATAAATGTACATATTTCACTGAAATAAATCTAAATATACATACGTATACGTTCATCTTGTGTGCATCCATGAATGCTTCGCAATTACAATGATTATATAAAAGACACCTAAGTGAATGGCACCTTCTAATACAGATTTAGAGTTAGATGCAGTAGAGGCAAGTAATTAATAAAGTTGCACCAGGAAACTCCCTTGTCCTTCTAGGAATTGCCGGTGATGATAGGGACATAAATTGTGAAGCACGTGGGATGACGAAGAAAAGTGATCGAAAGAATTGACAACATCTAGATGGGGAGGTGCACTAGCCCCATAATTGGCGGACAATCTCGTATTACAAAATATTTGGAAGTATGCAGGTTGATGAAAATTATGGGGAAGTTGTACGGTCGCCATAGTGATCTCATTACTCTATTTCTATGCGTGATATGAATCTGGACGTGTTTGATGCTTGTTAGTTTGCCGTTGGTTCAGTTGTTGTTTACCTTGTTTTGATTTGAGAACATGACATTACTTACTAGGATCGTCCAAGGCGGGTGTCGTCGATGAATCTGAAGACGCTTCCGGAACACCTGGTCTTATTTTCATTGTATTTTTTCAGGTGTCTCAGTTGAATATATATTATGTTATATAAGACTGTAAAACAGAATTATAAATTGCTAGGAATTCAACATGTATGTTAATATATATTATTGTTTCCATGCCATATTTGGCTTCTAATGTATTTATATCGGAATATTATCTTCGGGTTGTTACATGTATATATCGAATATATATTGGTACGTTATATCATATCTTATATTTGATAAATGGTTGTGAGTTAATATGGATGTTTACATGTGATATGCATGTTTACATGTTAACATATATTACTATAGACAGTGCGTTTGCAGTTTTTACAGGTACTAGACAGTGATTATTCAAAGTAGATACTTACTTTTGTATGCATTGATTGAGGTATAATTCATGAGTACTGTTATAAAGGTAGTTCAGTTTCATATAGGTCCAGGTAAATATACCAGTATACTGATGTACACCGAACGACTTCGTATCAAAACTGTGATCGATAGTGCAATTCCAACACATCGTTGTGCCAAAAATTCAAAGGCTAATAGCATTCTTGTGCAAATATTGGAATACACTTAAACTTGTTTAACCTGCAATATTTTTGTTTGAGTCTGGCAAATTGAAAGCACTATAATGATTTTTCGTAGCATAAAGAATTACTGTAATCGACAGTAAAGAAATATAATTACTGTTTATCCCCTTCCATTTAATATAATAAAACATAATGAAGCTAATCTTACAATATGTATGCAACGACGGACAGGCTGCTTATAGTAGCTTCCTATACGATTCGCTCAATACAGTCAAAATATAACTACCAGTGATTCCCATTCCTATTTGTAATACAATACAGATGTGCCTCGTGTTTCTTTCTTCCTAAAATTTCGATAACTACACAATACCTGAAAAGTAATCAACCCTGAATTCACGTCAATTAATATCAAGTAGCAATCAATCTTGTATAAAGTTATCTTAAACCTACATAGAATAAAAAAAACATTATTAATAACTAGTACTGGTGATAATACATTGTAAGTGGTAATTACATTAAGCTCGAGTATCAAAGGTCATTAATTTTATTGTAATACAACGACAGGTATATTGTAGATGATAGACGCTCTGCGGGATGCCTTACACAATCTATAAAAGTGTTCTTTGTGTTTACAAGTAATAAAAAGCAATATTTTGACAGCATCGTTTTTCTTCTGTGGACATTAAAGAGTCTACGACAACAGTTCTTTTCCTATTGAACACACCTTTTCATCCAATCAATATTTGTTTCTGATGAAGTGTGATAACGACTATCGACTAAATACAATCTATTCATATTGTTCCAATCAATTACCTCTTATTGTTATAATGAGCGTCACACATAATGGTCATGATTAACCTGTAAACCCAGTACTTGTTCAATTAAGAAACCACAACCTCACGGATGGAAGCACTTGTAGCTGGAAGGTAGAAATCATCACCTTACGGAAGAGATCACCCGTTAAGCGGCAGGTAGGTATAATTTACTTATTTGATTTCGCTGGTGAAGACGGATCAATCTTTCATTAATTACTGTTTGATACTCATCTTGGTGAAATGTTTTAACCAAGTGTATATCTGATCATGTTAAATCTTCCTGCAAGGCAGCTATCACAAACGAGGTTAATCTGCTAATACATCTCAGCAGATATCTCCTAAATACAGTGTATTTCAATATAATTTTTTTAAACAATAGACAAAATATAGACACTTAGGATAAAATGAAAACGTAATTAATTACAAATACATGATATTTTGTGAATCATTTTTATTACTGGGTTAATATTTACATTGATTTTTCAGGTGTCACAAATACCAAAATTCCAAATTTTATGTAAATAATATAATATGCAACGTAATACGACAATTTATTACAAATGTTTTTGTTTATGTCATATGATATATTAACTGTAGATAATAATTAATACATATATCATGGACAACAAGCAAGTAAGGTAATTACAAATACATACGTTGTACACAATCAACAAGAACACCTCATTTGTAATGTATTCCGAATTCTGTAATAATGGTTATGTAAGGCTTTACTAATTGGATAATTGTCGTGATCCTATCCTCAGTATAATCATGAACTCTGACGTTACGTCATAGATGGCGGCTATCTTTCCGGTTGATACTGATGATCGACATCGAGAAACGTGTTATAACGACATGCTAAAACGTTCATTTGAGATATAATGATATTTTTGTGACATATTCCGATTAATTTTTCTCCAATCAAGCAAGTTTGTCGTTTATGCCAGCAAGAATGTCGATGAAGACGATAACCGTTACAGTATGTGGTATTTTTAATCCAGGGGTCAACTTCCGTTAATAATACCACATCTTAATAAAATTATATCACAAAGTATTGTCTCATTCCTTTACTGGATAAATTAGAGAATGATACGATATCCCTATCTCCATTCGAAAGAAACATAATGATACCTTTTGATGAGTGTCTGTTGTTTTATCAATCGACTTTACAAATCCGAGATAGACATGACGAATTTTGAATATGTACACAGAATCAATATAAACAAAAAATAAGACAGATAATCCACACAGATATAAATTTTCAGTCTTTTCAAATACTTAGACCTACATGATGACCTGTACCTATCAACACTTTAACTAGAGATGGAAACCATTTTATAATTCTTTTCATTTTATGTGATATTTCATGAAACTCGTCTCAAAGTTTTAATTTTTGCGATTAAATATATATATATAAACTCCTTTCATGATTTATTATTTCAGATCCAATATATCTGCTGAAAATATTTCTATGTTGATTTTGAATCGCTATATTTATTGATAGATACAATTTTCAATCTCATCATGGCAACATCACCAACATCACAATTGGAGCCGGAAAGTACAACGGAATCGGCACCAATGCCTGGACCAACGACCATCGAATTATTCATTCCGACTCTAACCCTCTTCATTGTTGGATTTCTTGGTCAGTGAGCCTATTTGACATAATTATTTAGTATAATCTTGTTGTATGGTGTTACAAGACTCACTTCATTAATTGCTTATGAAATAGAAAACATGGATTCTGTCGTCAAAACATGGCAAGATATGTTAATCAACATAACATACACTCTTATTAAACAGCGTATCTGGTATTAATATGAAATAGTTTTAGTTTTAATCAGCAGCGTATAGTAAAAATACTAATATAATTTTTATTTCTTCTTCTTTTAGCAATTACAAAGTATGTGTATTCACACCATTCTCAGGCATTTTGTCATTCAAATAAAACTATTTACATGTGCACTGCACACCGACGCTGTTAACCTGCGGAGCCCGATGTTTGTCATCTTCCATGTACATACATTTGTGCTATAGCTGGCGTAGAAATATAAAAGTACTTGCCACAACTATTAACATAAAGCGCGAACAATGTTCTTTTCTTATTTGTAATTGATCATTGTATTACAATCGTTAGAAGCGCTGTTTTATGTCTCGTTCCCTTATAGGCCACCGTATGTTCCACATGAATGAATGAAAACTTTGTGGTAACAAGTATATGATTCTGATAACATACGTGTATTTCTTGTTTCAGTGTTTTTGGTACTTTACTGTGTTAGCCATCGTCAGCGTCTATTAGCTGTATTTACCTGCAACAAAAGAATCGAAGTGATATCAATTGAAAAGGATATAACTGGAATCCCAAACAAGAATGAATCATTTCTAACGGCACGTGACCTTTATGCTCTGAAAAGACTGGAAAATTTCCAAAACAATATTTATGGACTTTTGAAAATTTGCATCGCGCCTAGCGTGTCTCTAATAGCCTGTCCTCTTTCTCTTCTCTTGTATGAACCTATTGTCAACTACTGTTGGCCAAAATCTGAATTCCCAATGCCGCCGAACATTAATGATGCTATTGGCTGTTTCCTTGTTCCCGCTGGGATGGTGTACGCTTTCATGTTTGGATTCGCGTTTCAACACGTATACCACCGTCATACCAAGATCGAAGACAATATCCAAGAGAAGGTCGGGATTATGAGGGAGCTTGTGTGGATCCTAAAGACCTTGAATGGCTTATCAGCTGTTTCCTTGCTCGAAGTTCTTGACATTTTAAAAGAACAATTGATCAGCGAGCTTTTGCAGGTCCAAGGCATAAACGACCAGATCAGGACTGGTAAGACCGTTACATATACATATGTAACTGAATTTTAATTACCCTTTTTTTCGATATTAATCTTTCAATACTTTGTAAGTATCCTCCCCCTCTCCTACCGCTAAATTCAAGATTTAAGGCTAGGAGTTTTCATTATTATCGTACAATGGCAGGTTTTCTTTGTCTTTGTCTCACCATCCCACCATGTGGTTGTTAAGGGAGGGGGTCCCTAGGGAGGGGGTCCCATTTCATTGTATGAATTCATATCAACAAACAAATCATTATGGGTGATACAAATTAATCATTTGTCCCCTTGTTTGATCGGTGGGGAATCGGAACATCGTGAGAAAAAGATTTAAATTTAATAATGTCCACCCAACGATCGTTTCTCCCTAGGGCTATTACATCGTTAAGGAAGTACGTTGTCCTTTGTCTAATGAAAGAAATTTTGATATCTTGATATTTTTTAAGTTAATTAATCAGATTTGTTTTTCCCATATCATCCATGAAGTCACGGTTGGTGTCTGTACTTCTGTCTTATCCACGATAGAGCACATGTACAAATTGTAATGTCTGTTAACCATGACATCAGCTGAAGCGTATCCACGTGGATAAATATGACATGCCCGCAGTATATATATGCATCGTCACAATTCTTGAAGTATTGGAAGTATTGGAGAATAAAAATCATTTAAAAATCTTTTACGGCACATAATGGCTTGGTAAGGCTCGTCGGGAATAATGAGCCAGAGAGAACTACCACGTGTCTGATCGGTGTCACAGGAAATAATGGACCAGGCACCCTTCGTGCCATTTCTTACAATCTTTAGCAAAGTAGAACAGAATGGAAATACTACTTAATAATCGTTATGACGTTTTTTCGTTTTTTGTTTTATTGGTTTTTTCACTTAGAGCTATTGTAGGGTAAGTGGTCCTGTTCTTCTAGAGATTTCCAACTTTTTCGTCTTGTATCACTGAAGATATACTATAAAAACGATAACGTTTTATTCACTTTTCAGCATACACTGTATTTTAATGCTATTCATATGTGTATGGATTTTTAATGATCTTGAGCGTGTGTACGTTCACAAAGCACCTGATACCAAATACAGACAGGTGTTTACATTATTGGCCTTGTTTTTGTTCTGGGTCTAGATACCTGGTCGATTTTATCGCTGCTGAACAAGACGATGGATAAGGCGGACAGAATATCAGGACACAACAGGGCAAGAAAGGTTAACACCGTTACATATATGGACCATTTGCAGGGCTCCGCAATCGACGTTGCCTTATACCGGGAAATCATGCGATGTCTCCGCACACTTCGGACTCTAACAGACTCTGGTCTGACCCAAGCGGGCATGCCATTGTTTCAGTGAGTAGTTTGATTAAAACGTCTGCTAAAATAAAATAACAGATAGTTTACATTATATACACCGACAATAGATATTCTAGAGTGAGAAGTAATCGCTGCTTCCGTTTGTCGTCAGTAAGTCAGATTAATTCCGAAATCGTGTAGTTCACATGCATAAAAAATCAAGAACAAACTGTAATTGATAGTTATTTTAAAGAAAGATGATTTTCATTCAAACGAAAACACAAGACTGGTCTGGAAAGCATTAATGAATTACGATTACATCAGGCAGAAAATGTATGTTGAGCAAGAAATGACCGAGGTACTTATATAAAAATGGGTAATCACAAACAGATGGAAACCTTTCGTGCTATATTTTATTGTCGCCGTAAGCACGCGTATTATTTCAGAACGAGGTACATTGTGTAAAGCACGTGGATTATAGATATTCGAGCGAGTTATAAAGAAAGTATAGAAAAGCCAAGTATCAAAAGCTATTTTGAATTTTGTTCTGTTTCAGTTGGTTATTCCTGGAGATACTGGGTTATTTCAGTTTTCTTGGCGTGCTCCTGGTCAGTGCCCAGTCTTACCATATACAGCTGGCAATGTGTGTAGTCACCGTGGCTTCCATCAGTCTCCTGTGTTTTGCTGTCAGTGATCTCGACTCACCTTTCCATGGTTTCCTTAGAGTCGACCTCAGCGTCATCAGCTCCATGGTGATGGAGCTTCAAATGCACGCGCGTAACCTGGGCGTGGTACATCTGACTGATGTTCATTAATGTACATATATGTTTATATCATTAGTTATATTTGTAATTGACTAGTACATGTATTGTATGTCTTGGCTAGGCAGACCAGAGCTTCTCTATTAATTTTGCGACCTCTAAATTTCTGCTGACTGCTAACTAACCAAAGAACTGTTTTATTTCATAGAGGAACGCCGGTGGCCATGTTGCCGTTTAAAATATCATCCTACCATGTATAGAAGTACAGTCGGTTAACAACCTTATGGAATGCATTAATTTTTTCCTACATGAAATTAATTTTTAATAGATAGTCCAAAGGACTTATAGCATTCACGACTTCTTTCCAGATCATTATTCTACGAAAAGAAATATGAATGCATTTTTTTAAAAAACTTTTTCTCCATTTCATGTGACGATAACATGCCGTCTTTTATTTAAGTTCCTGTCTTCAAACCCACGGACTCCTTTATGAATATTGAAGTTATATACGTACAAATATATTTGTAGGTAATGGAAATAGAAAACACGTGTGAGGCTGTAATGTACATACAAGGCTATGTAATTAAGTTGTATACCTAAGTCAAATCACTAACTGCCTACGTGGAGAAACAGTACATGCACGAGTACTTTCTATCATTTTCTTAGAATGTCACCTCCGTTTTCATTTCAAGTATTTAAAAATTAATTATTTATCTTTGTTTATCCTATCATTTAGCGATACGTGTAGTATAATATTAACACTTCAACTTAGTTTCCATATAAAGCTTTCCAACCCTGTCTGTATCAATAAAAAAGCTGAGGCGATTAGACAGTGTACATTGTATGTCCTTGTCTACTTTTCTGTATGTTAATGCGCGGTGTTTTTTTTTTTTTTTTTTTTTACAATCCTATTGTTTTGTCAACTTGTGAAAAACATGAAAGACATTTAGATGTAATGTTACGTGGAATATAAATATTTGGAAACAGTAAATATATATAACAATTCTATCATTTAATCTTGAAACTGTTCTGGTGCAATGGGCGTTGCCCATGAAGCCCAAATGTCGCCACCTACTGTTTGAAATAGTGGCTGATATATGCCGTTTTGTTATTTCATTTTTTTCACACAAAATCTCGATTCTGTGATGTAACGATAACTGATGTATTTTTGCGCCGTTGATTATCGTCTTTTTGCAGCACGAGAACGAAACAAATGTCACTGTATATCGAAAAAGACATATTTTCCTGCGGGCTGGGACTGGGGCTGGGCCTGGGGCTGGGGCTGGGGCTGGGGCTGGGGCTGGGGCTGGGGCTGGGGCTGGGGTTGGGGCTTTTTGTACACGTATACCATCGATGCAGAGTATGTCCATTGCTATACAAAACTCGATGGTGCTGAAGTATGTGTACATGTAAATCAGCCCTATAAGAAATACATGCCCATTGGATAAGCACATGCGACCTCGGCGGAATGTTTCAATACAGTTTAAAAATCTTTAGATGAATCCCTGATAGATATGTTTGTCATGTAGTTAAACGACGAATAAAACACATTATACCATGTAAGACATCTTAAGCTATTTTCACATGTCTATCTTTTATGACGTTATAATAACGTCATAATGTTTATGCGTGACGTCATATCCGGTATCAGATGCTTGTGAGTATTACGGAATGGTGATTATTTTTCAAGATATTTACGCAAAAAAGACTGGTAAGTAGATCCATAGCTTAGAGTCTGATACATGTATGCCCACAGAAAAACTTCGTTTATATGTACAAATAAGAATACTCAGTTGTATCAAGGAAAAAATTGTGTTTTCTCTTGTAAAGAGGTAATTTCAGCGCATGCGACTTTTCGTTCTTAAACTGGCGGACGCCATACGCCAAAGGAAATAAAGGGATTAGGAAAAGTAACAGTAACGTAATATGTGCGGTAGGCTTACTACATTCAGAAAATATAGCCGACGGAATTGTATTGCAATAATTCCTTCGCCCCTTCGTCGCGTCATAACAAAAATGCATCATTACATTGGAAATACATAAATATGTAAGCACATACACCTCAACACTTCAGCTGTAAAGGCGCAGAAGAACATTTGATATTTTTCCATTTCTCCGCATAACGTTCTTATGAAGTGTAAATCTTTAAATTATGTACCATTTCTGAAAACCTCGAGTGAGTATAAAATAAATATGAAAATGTATAATGAAAAAAAGATCGTTGACAATCGTTTTCGTGAGTACTTTTGTATATCGTGTGTAACGTGTGTACCTTCCCCATCGTGAAGCTTGATTTCATCATCTGAAGGTTTCAGAAATATTTTGAATCATTCAGATGTCCATTTTTTCATCAATGTGGGACTCAAATTTACAAATAAAGTGTTTGGTCTTGAAACTTGGCTGCAAAAATAAAGATGAAAATACTACCAGCATGAATTCATTATCCTAATGCAAAATAGTAAAAATGATAACGGGACACGCTGCTTTCCTTGTTTCATTTCAGGAGCAATTCCAGTGCAAATGGGAGTCACTAATTTATTATTGAAGTAATGAACTTCAAGTCTATTTGCTGTAAAAATCTAAACGAGCCATGAGTATCATTTTTAATGATGTCAGAACTGACAGCAAAACTTCTCACAGTCGATTAAACAGATTCGAAAACAGAAATCATCGCAAATGAAAAATAGTTGTAGAACAAGGTTATGAAAAATGGCCGAACCGGAATCAGAGACAACGGCTGAACCAGAATCTGAAACAACGGCTGAACCAGAATCTGAAACAACGGCTGAACCGGAACCTGAAACAACAACAGAACCAGAATCTGAAACAACGGCTGAACCAGAATCTGAAACAACGGCTGAACCAGAATCTGAAACAACGACTGAACCAGAATCTGAAACAACAGCTGAACCAGAATCTGAAACAACGACTGAACCGGAACCTGAAACAACAACAGAACCAGAATCTGAAACAACGGCTGAACCAGAATCTGAAACAACGACAGAACCAGAATCTGAAACAACAGCTGAACCAGAATCTGAAACAACGACTGAACCAGAATCTGAAACAACGGCTGAACCAGAATCTGAAACAACGGCTGAACCGGAACCTGAAACAACAACAGAACCAGAATCTGAAACAACGGCTGAACCAGAATCTGAAGCAACGGCTGAACCAGAATCAGAAACAACGACTGAACCAGAATCTGAAACAACGGCTGAACCAGAATCACAAACAACGACTGAACCAGAATCTGAAACAACGGCTGAACCAGAATTTGAAACAACGGCTGAACCAGAATCTGAAACAACGGCTGAACCAGAATCTGAAACAACGAGTGAACCAGAATCTGAAACAACGACTGAGCCGGAATCTGAAACAACGGCTGAACCGGAATCAGAAACAACGGCTGAACCAGAATCACAAACAACGACTGAACCAGAATCTGAAACAACGGCTGAACCAGAATTTGAAACAACGGCTGAACCAGAATCTGAAACAACGGCTGAACCAGAATCTGAAACAACGAGTGAACCAGAATCTGAAACAACGACTGAGCCGGAATCTGAAACAACGGCTGAACCGGAATCAGAAACAACGGCTGAACCAGAATCTGAAACAACGACAGAACCAGAATCTGAAACAACGGCTGAACCAAAATCTGAAACAACAACAGAACCAGAATCTGAAACAACGGCTGAACCAGAATCTGAAACAACGACTGAACCAGAATCTGAAACAACGTCTGAACCAGAATCTGAAACAACGACTGAACCAGAATCTGAAACAACGACTGAGCCGGAATCTGAAACAACGGCTGAACCAGAATCTGAAACCAATGCCGAACCAGAATCTGAAACAACCTCTGAACCAGAATCTGAAAGAACGGCTGAACCAGAATCTGAAACAACGACTGAGCCGGAATCTGAAACAACGGCTGAACCAGAATCTGAAACCAATGCCGAACCGGAATCTGAAACAACGTCTGAACCAGAATCTGAAACAACGGCTGAACCAGAATCTGAAACAAATGCCGAACCGGAATCTGAAACAACGGCTGAACCAGAATCTGAAACAACGGCTGAACCAGAACCAGAAGTAATTACTGAGCCAGAGGATGGAGGAACATCCAAACCAGAAACAGAAATGACTGTGAAACCGGAGTATCAAGTCACGTCGGAACCGGAATCGGAATTAACGTCAAATAATGAGAGTGAAGTGAATGCTGAATCTGAGAACGAACCAGAGATATTTTCAGAAGTTACCGGAGTATCGTTTCCCGAATCAGATATTACTTTGGTACCATTTGCTGAAATAACAACACCAGAAGTAGAAGCCGAGGCGGAAGCACTATCAGAGCCAACCGTTTCTGAAATAATGTGGCCTCCTTCCGCTTTGTTAATGTTAGGGGCCCTCGGTATGTACAAGTGGAAAATAAACTTTGTATGTGTAACCAATTAATGGAATTATATTAAATATCATTTGAATCTTAGTTTAATATGATACATTTAGTATTTTTTAGAAGTGTGTCTAAATTAGCTAGGCAAAAATATATAGAATTTACACTTCTTATCTGTATGTACATGTACCATTTCATAACAAAATTGCTGTATAGTTTTTGTTATATCTCAAATACTATCGATGTCAGATAAATGATATTAGCTGCACTATACATATGATCACCGGGAATGTCTAAACCTAATTGTTATTGATGTATTTTCAGGATTTCTAATGCTTTATCTTATGTGGCAAAGGAAGAGAATACAATTCAAACGACCAACTCGAAAAAGCGTCCATCCATCAAAATTTGTGTACAGCTATGAAGACTTTGCCAACAGTAATGCCGACCAACTCCCTTCTTTTATTACTGAAAGAGATAAGTATGCAATTGATAAGCTACGATATTTCCAGAACAACGGCCTCAGTTTATTATACATGGTGATGCCTCCAGCTCTCACACTTGTATTCTGCCCCCTAACTCTCTTTATGTATTCACCAATTGTCAACTATTTCTGGCCAAAACCATACTTTACAGTTCCCCCAAATGTGAACGATTCTTTGGGATGTTTCTTAGTACCGTCAGGAATGGTGTATGCTATCATGTTCGGTTTCGCATTCCAAGAAGTGTTTGAAAAACATACAAGTATAGACGTTAAACTAAAAGGTCAGACGTTAAGCATGCGAAAATTGGTGCTGTTATTAGACGCAATGGAATCCATTTCTCCCCGGACGTTTCTTCATGTTTTGTACACACTGAAAGACGAAATCGTCAATATAATATTCCGTATACAGTCCATGGAAAACCTGTGTGTACCAGGTAAGAGTTTTTTTCCTCGATATATTTATTTTTAATTTCTACACCATTTATCACTTTATATTTTTGTTGAGTATTCAATTTTAGCACAATTTGAACCTTTGATTTTTGAAATTATTAGAAATTCTTAGACTTGATGTGAATCTGAATGTTATTTGTAGAATCATTATTTGTACATAAGGTTATAACTTTAAAAATCAAATTTAATGTAGAAGTTTTCTTCATTTAAAACTTTTGTTGAGAGAAGTTGCATTTGTTTTCGAAAAGTTTTAGCAAATAATTTATAGTTTGTACTCCGTTGTTATATCGTTTCTCCTGCTTGTCTGTGATTCTATGTCCCCGTTTGTTGACAGTAAATATCTGGGGCCTGCTGAAGCCGTTGAACAATGACCAGCGCAAAAAGCAATCTCCAGTGGACCGGACAGTGTTCACTGAGGTGTTACACTGCCTCAATGACCTCAACGTCATGTCTGCAGAGAGTGGCTGTGTCACAGAACATATGCATGTATTTCAGTAAGTATCAGAGAATTCCCATCGCAACGTATAGTCGGTATTGTGGACAGTACGTACCACGACGGGAACACAAGGTAAGAAAATCTCTATAATTACTTACCGATGAGTCAAAAAATTGCATAATCGTTTCTAGAAGCTTCACAGCCAGTATGGAAATAACAAATCGATTCAAATGATTGTATCGGTTTATGTCCTTAGTTCTTCAGGAAAGTGAGTACTAGTATATTGCATGCTTAATTACCTTATCTGGTGGGGACAATTGAAACATACTGCAAGCCAGAACATCGCGTTACTTTATCGTAAGGCCGCCATTACCACAGAGTACAACCAAGATTCTCCTATGTGAATTATAGTTGACAAATTAAGCGATCCCTTAAACCTTGCTTTATCCACTAGAGTATTCAAGTTATCACCTATAAAAGAGGCCTGTGATCTCCCTGCTTGTCATGATGCCCCTGTTCTAAACAGGGTTGGTTTATATTTTAAAACGAATATGCTGGAATTTTATAAAACCGTAATTCAAAATGTAAACGTAACACCATTTAGAGCCCTCTAATGCGTATTATCTTAAACAGTTCGTTGTTAACTTGCATTACTGGCACCAAAGAGCCATAATTTCAAAGAAACCAATATACAGCATCGTATTATTTTTTAATGATTGCTTATTTGGAGACACCATTCACTTGAGGTGAATGTATAACGTATACCTTTTTATACCTATTACAGATGGATTTTCCTGGAGACGTTAGGTTATTTCAGTTTCCTTGGTGTGCTCCTGATCCAAGCCGACTCGTACCGAATGGAATTAGCAATGTGTATTGTCACTGTTGTCTCCATTACTCTGCTCTGCTGCGTAGTCAGTGACCTTGACTTCCCATTCCATGGCTTTTTCCTCATCGATCTCCAGATGTTGATCGATCTGATCGATTTTCTCACCACAACATCAAAAGACTTACAAACAAGAGTGGCCAAAGAAGAAGTGACTGAGAAGAATACTGACGTCCGATGAGGGTACCAGTGACGTTCTAATATTGGATTTACGGTTGTAGAGAGCAGTCCCTCTCGTTATTACCTTGATAGTGCCAAGTCTTGTGTGACAGTTTAGTGTTCAATCAATAGACCATGTACAATTAAACGATCTTTACCAAATGTATTGAATACAAAGTAAACAAATCCCAATGTCACATGTTTACTGTTTGTGCTGAATGCACTAACTTTATTAATGAATTGTGATTTATGAAATTTTCTTAGATCCCCGGGGATGAAGATGGGATTGGGATGGGTGGGGACGGGGGTAGGGGTATAGGTTAACGATGTGTCCATCATTCCGTACTTTATCTTGTTCGCGCTCCATCTCCTACACTACTTGTCACAGGAACTTCATATCTAGTTCATGGGTCAACCTATATAAGGTGAGGCGATCTATCTTGTACCAATCTAGACCACTTTGATAAACATTCTGACACGTGACCTACGCCAAATAAAAGGTTTGTCCTGCTTGGGCCAAAACTTCATATTTGGGTCATGGCTTCACCAATGTTTGTATGTATGTGTCGTAAACAAAACCTTGACCTACCGTTTGACCTCCGACCTGCATTTGTAAAATAGGAATGATTGATATTATCGTTACAAATTAATGATAATTCCTCTCCCATTGTATTGGGTTGTTCATTTGTTCGAACTTCTGATACCGCCAACTAAAATTCGTGATTTTATTCACATTTATAACACCGAATGTACCGTGTGATACATAATACCTCCGGATGTAAAACGTCACACCAAGCAGATTCATTTACAGTAGCATTACTCGCACTATTCTTACGGTTGGATATCAATAATTTGGTGACTAAATTAGGCCCTGCACAAACCCATTACTTGCACCTTCTTGGAATATAATTTCACATTCGATGGACACTGTAATCCGCAGAACTGTCTCGTTAAGTTAGATTCTAATTCTTATAAATACATCAGTCAATTTGCTCCACTACGAGTTTAGTTGAAATTCATATATCAGTTTAAAGCCACAATGCATTCTAAACAGTTCCCATGGAAACAATGCTGTCAAATGTGGTTTGACGATATAGCCTGGAAAATGCATCAGGATTAGTTCTGATGAAGAAACACTGGGCAATCACACTTTTCATTTTTTTAAATTCTTACCTTACTGTTCAAAATTGATCTCAAGTCATGATATGACATTATAATCGAGATTGCCAATCGTTATCAAAGCAGTGGATATATTAACAACATTTATAAGTTAATGCAGGAATCATGCAATGCTACATTGTTGATATTAACAACATTTATAAGTTAATACAGGAATCATGCAATGCTACATTGTTGATATTAACAACATTTATAAGTTAATGCAGGAATCATGCAATGCTACATTGTTGATATTAACAACATTTATAAGTTAATGCAGGAATCATGCAATGCTACATTGTTGATATTAACAACATTTATAAGTTAATGCAGGAATCATGCAATGCTACATTGTTGATATTAACAACATTTATAAGTTAATGCAGGAATCATGCAATGCTACATTGTTGATATTACAAACCTTTGTAAGCTGATGCAGGAATCATGCAATGCTACATTGTTGATATTAACAACATTTATAAGTTAATGCAGGAATCATGCAATGCTACATTGTTGATATTAACAACATTTATAAGTTAATACAGGAATCATGCAATGCTACATTGTTGATATTAACAACATTTATAAGTTAATGCAGGAATCATGCAATGCTACATTGTTGATATTAACAACATTTATAAGTTAATGCATAATGCTACATTGTTGATATTAACAACATTTATAAGTTAATACAGGAATCTACATGTTGATATTAACAACATTTATAAGTTAATGCAATCATGCAATGCTACATTGTTGATATTAACAACATTTATAAGTTAATGCAGGAATCATGCAATGCTACATTGTTGATATTAACAACATTTATAAGTTAATACCTTTGATATTAACAACATTTATATTAATGCAGGAATCATGCAATGTTACATTGTTGATATTACAAACCTTTGTAAGCTAATGCAGGAATCATGCAATGTTACATTGTTGATATTACAAACCTTTGTAAGCTAATGCAGGAATCATGCAATGTTACATTGTTGATATTACAAACCTTTGTAAGCTAATGCAGGAATCATGCAATGCTACATTGTTGATATTAACAACATTTATAAGCTAATGCAGGAATCATGCAATGTTACATTGTTGATATTGAAAACCTTTGCAAGTAAATGTAGGAACCTCGCAATGCTAACATTTTATATGCCATATAACCGTATTGTTCCTTATTGACACAAGTGGTTTATTGTGTATAACTATCAAGAATAGTGACTCGAAAATAGGATTTATTTACATGCCAATGCACTACTGCTTATGAAAGCAGGCCATCGATTAGCGATTGGGTAGTAGTTGCATTTGCACCACATTAATAGATGAGATAATTTTTTTCTTTTGAGATGTGTTTAGCGTTCCATTTGCACTTCACCAGAAAACTGACGTTTGTTGGTGAGATACCGCCCATAAAGAGGACGAGTCAAGGAGACGTCAACTCCCAAAAGACTATGTAAATATATAATTTCAGTATACCAGAAACAGAAAAAAAACATGTTTTATATTGTTTTGAATGTTTCTAAATTCCTATGAAAAACGAAGATATGCAGCAAACTGTGGCTAACTAAGTGCACTACTTAACAATGCAATAAATCATTGGACATTTGCACGAATTTCGAAATTCACAGATGGAAAATAGTTCAGAAATGTCGTTACATGACTTTCATTGTGGTAGAATGAATTTTCAATGCCTAGTGAAGGCTCTGATAGATGACTTTCACTATGAATTGATGCGATAGTTGTTTACATGTAATACAGAAACTTTCATTTGAATAGTGAATTGTAAGATAAATGAATTTTAAGGTGAAGTTACCCGGTATTAATTTGACTAGAGAAATTTCAGACATTTGAATCGTTATACATGTATGTACTGACATAATGATTGTATGATATCAAATATACCGGTCTAGTAACCTTTATGTAAAATTCACTTTTCACTGCCCCTTCAGTTGCCTTTTACAGTATAACAAGTTCGATATACAGTTTAGGCTTCAATGATCATGTTGTTTATATGATTGAAATATAGCAATATTTCTAAAAAATCGAATATAAACTGCTCCTTGTATGTATCAAAATCGATATATTTACATATCGTGTCTAAGGCGTTTATATGTTGGACACACGCTGTTGTTATCAATAACAAAATAAAGGGAGAACATATGCGTAATTCGATGTACCTAGAACTAGTATTTTTGCATAATTTTAATAGTTTTCTCCACAGAAATGTATCGATTTTGCCTGCTTGTGAAGCGATTGTGTTGTTAAACCTTACCTCCTGGTAGGAAATGTATTATGTTCTAGCTATGTATTACGCTGCATTACTTCCACACCGAGATCAACTATACACTGTCAACTGTAGGGCGGTTTTTCATTGATACTAACACGTTTTTAATTTAATTTCCCACTCCTGACGATCCAGATATAGGGAAGTGAACTTTCATGGAATGATGCTGATGCTTTCATAAAGTATGAAAACAAACCAGTAAACCATTCAACTTTTCTCGTACAGTGTGGCAAAGATTAAACCGATAGATTTAACGTTATTACGGTAAAACACATTTGTCTTTCTATGTAAATTTAGTAGCAAATTTTGGTTCCAGCGGTTTTTTATTTAACAAATTTGATGCGGACTATCACTTGTCATCCACGGCGGTTTTTGTATAACGAATTAATGTACTTCTCTTCAGATAGCAGAGAGGGATCATACAAAGAATTTAGTAATGACTTCTATATAAGTGTGGGATAGGGTTTATTTATTGTCTTCGTATCTAAGAATACAACTACATTTATTTCCTGAGGCATATATATATATATATAGGTTTGTTCTAACAGATACAGACGGAATAGTTATATATACTTGTATTTTAAAGTATTTTGCTTACGTTGTGCCACACGTGACCAGCCTTAGTGTACAGACACTCATTTTTATATATACATAAAGCATTATAATTATTTGTTATAAGCAAAAGAGCTGCATTCCGGTGGGTGAGGGAGATAGGAGAACGAAAACTAATCTTTAAAGAATCCTGGCTCCCATGAGATTCAACGTTTTATGTATAGGATGTGGCCTTTCAGAGAATATAGACAACGTAATCGTGTGTGAAGAACAGGGTTCATTTAAATAATGCAACTACCAAGAAACGCATGAACAAGATCTCGGCATTTCTTCACACCACAAAATGCGACATGTTCAGCTTATACTTATCATTTCAAACAAGTTGCACAAATATCCCGAACGCAGTTCTGTAGAAATAGGGGTCACAAATCACAATTGTTAAATCTGATATTGCCACTTGTTGCCATCTTGAATATCCGGCCATTCTTCGTTAACAACACACAGTTCTCGGTTAATAAAAATATTGTTGGTGTCGAGCATTACCAATATACAGTAGCATTATAAGTAAGATGCTAATAATGTATATCGATTTGTATTGTGTATCTACATTATTACGTCTCAGGTGTTCAGCTAAGATATATTTTTTTTAATAGACGTAGTCTTTCGTTTTAAATCAGTTGTCTCTTTGCTTCTTTGCCCTGCCAATGCTTAGTTGTCTGAAAATACACGTAGTTCATTAAAATATCGGTTATATCGTAAACAAATATATCTCACCATAATATTATTGGTGTTTATTATCTGGTATGATGATAGATTTTACACTTATATTACTCTTGGTATACACCGAGGTGTATGTCATTGTGTGTTTATGAACACCTCCACTCCAATAATGGTAATATGTATATATTGGACTTTCATTATCTCCTAGAAAACATTGGTATCATGTGTGTGACATTGGCATAGCATCTCGTATCCAGAAAAAATCTGAAGTACAGTTGTTTTGTTCGTGTGGATTGTTG